GTACCTGTCCCAAGGCACACCGACGCCTATTAAATCCCGCGATACACAAATGGGGATTTTGAAATTTTCGCCATTCGTATTTGCTCCTTTTGCCTCAATTTGCCAATTTAATTTCTTTAATACAAGGAGACATCTAAGCAAGTTTTGGCGTACTTGTGCCAAGGCACACCGCCACCTTTAACCCATTAAATCCCGCGATCCACAAATGGGGATTTTGTAATTTTCGCCACTCGTATTTGCTCCTTTTGGCTCAATTTGCTAATTTTGTTTTTTTAATACACGGAGACATCTAAGCAAGTTTCGGCCTACCTGTGCCAAGTCACACCGACGTCGTTAACCTATTAACTCCCGTGATCCATAAATGGGGATTTTGTAATTTTCGTCAGTCGTATTTGCTCCTTTTGGCTCAATTTGCTAATTTTATTTCTTTAATACACGGGACATCTAAGCAAGTTTCGGCCTACCTGTGCTACACCGAAGCCGTTAACCTCTTAAATACCGTGATACCAAGGGTTCTGCAATTTTTGCAACTCGTATTTGCTTCCTTTGCGCAAATTTGCGAATTTTGTTTCTTTAATAGACGGAGACATCTAAGCACGTTTTGGCGTACCTGTCCAAGGCACACCGACGCAGTTAACCTATTAAGTCCCCTACATGTGTGTTGTATTAATCTTACTAAACTTTGCAAGGACACAGCGACAATCCTGAATAAGAGCCTGTACAAAATTCGTATATACTCATATACTACGTCTAGTGGTATCAATGTCGGTTACTTGTCTTTGAATTCACTTTTTTAGTACAGATTATAATCAGAACATTTTTAAAGCCTGTTTGTAATCATTGTTGCAAAAATATCAATACGAGTGTGGTTCCCGCTTTTCAAAAATCTTCAAAACTGTAAACACTTTTATCTCAAACCTTTTTTCTTTCGTGAGATCAAGTATTTCAGACCATGAACGATAAGAAAAAAGTCTTTCTTTTAACATTTACAACTGTGAAAGGACCTAAGAACTTATGACAAGAGAGACGTTTTTGTTTCGGAAGGGACTTTTCACTAGCTATATGCCTAGTATGGACGATTAATTTTTAGTCCAGCCCATATAATACAGGAAAAATGATCGCGCAGTATCTGAGGCCCGTTGTTCAAGGAACTACTCTGAAATCTGCCAGAAATTGAAGGAAGTATTCCAGTATTTTCCGCTACTCAAATGTTTATTCGAAGAGTAGTCACGGTCCAATCAACTACTTGGCTGCGTCGTACTATCTACATGAGAAATAGTGTGTTATATAAAATATAAACATCGCTTTCTCCTGGGAAATCGCATGAAAATGCAGGGTAAGTCCTGAAGTTGCTGAAAAATTAATAATAACCAAAGTATATTTTTGAATTAAAAGTGTAGAAGCCGCGCAATTGTTTTTAATTCACCATTTTATAAAACTTCCTGAACTGCCCAATGTTATTTAGATAAAATAATTGACACTAGTCTCGACTACTGTGAATTAAAAAAAATATAATATCTAATAAACACAAAATAATCACAAAAACATCGTTTAGTCTAGTCGTTCCGAAAGTATTTATATTCGATTCATTGTCATAATCCCACTAGATGATATGCTCAAAAAATATACATTTTAGAGATACATAAAGTTCTTGGAATGACAATAATCTCGTATATTTCAACTTACAATGGTGAATACAGCTGGTCATCAAGGAAGAACCATTTTAAATCATAAATTGTATATTATGCATACTTAATGACTTTATGCAAATACTTCTTTAAGAAATATTTAACTAATGAAATATATAACGGAGTTTATATTATGGGAATATGAGAAAACATTGAAATTCTCAGAAGGATAGAAGTAATTATCTTCCAAATGATGATCGAAGATTTAAAATTGTCAATTAGATCTCCAATAATTTTAATTTATTACAGCACAATGAAATGAAAGCAGAGAAATGAATGTAGATTAGATGAGTTGTTAATAAAAGTTAGCAATAAGAAATACATTTTTACCTAATTTAAAGGGATTTATTTTTAAAAAGAAATGAGATAAAATTGAAAGAATTTTTAGTATAGTGGTTAGCCAGGTCAACCCTGCAACAGCAAAAGTACTACTGCAGAAAACCACGCAAAGTGGTTTAACCAAATGTATCTCGCACACTTCTCAAGAACACGTAAGATCGCTTCTATAATATTGCAATAAATTAAATATTTTAACAAAAACAGTGTTTACAACACAGTACAACAGTTCTTTACCAAGAATTCAAAAAAAGTTGCTGTTTCGAAACATGCGAATAGCAAATTTGGCGGCCTCTTTCTCGGAGCCATCGGTCGCATGAGGTCGGCTGTGTTGTAAGAAGTGTCGCACGTAATTGATCATTCAGATGGTACCCACAGTATATATGTGCAATAAGGCAGTTTTGGTGCAATAAGGCAGTATAGATAGAATAATCCAATAAAATGTTTGCATGTTTTGTCAGAATCGTTTTGAGGCTTTGTTGTGACTTTTTTCGTGGTCCTACGTACGTAACTAAACCATAGATATCTGTCAATCAGAGAATGCATACACTTCTTTCACATTCTATGCTAATTAGTAATATAGAGAAATGCAGGTTAACATGGAAACTGTTGTTATATGATTGGAAAATTATAAAATAAAATAGAGGAAATATGTTGCAGATCATAAAATGAATACTCCAATAAATTAATTGGCGCCATTTTTAGAATTGCTGCTCCACAAACAACACAAATGCCGAACATTATTGATAGCTGAATTTCGGCACACGTAAGTTACAGCAATGAAGGCAAGTATTTTTGTTCATTAACTAGAACAATCAGTGTTATTGCCAAATAAGTCATTGAATCATCCTCTTGTTTATCAATCTATACATATTATGAACTGTTATTAATGTGGCCATATCAATAATTTTGTAATGGAAACAATTACCATTAATGCGTTTTATTGCGTATTAATTAAGCTAGCGATGAAACACGATAAATCAATATTTGTGCAACTAGGGAGTGAGAGAGTGTTGCATCTAGTCTATTGACGCAGAGAAGGAGTGAGAAACCTGATTATTGAGTTTAATACCTGTATTTACTAGCTTTCATTCCGACGACATTCTCATCACAACGTTCAATTCATTTTTTATGCAAGAGTAGCTTCAAGTTTGATGCTTTACTGCTAATGTAAAGTATCTAACTTGGTATCAAATGTAAAAAAAATAACTTGTCAAAATTAATTTTATATTTTGCAACGCCAAAACATGATTGCCAATGATTTCCAAAGAATTTTGATTTTATTTAGATTTTCTTACACTGAAACTATACATTAACACGTAGAACTCGTGAAATTGGATAGTGTTATTTTACTATTGAATTTAAGCAGAAATAAAATAAAAATACTTCAATAACGTAAGCTCTGTGTTTTAATCAAATGTTTCTTTATCATATTTTGAACAAAATTTATATGATACCTAAATAAGAAATCCCAACATTGCAGAAGATCAACATTTCACCATTCCTTCTCAGATGATCATACGTTTTAATAATTATTTACACACTGTGTAGAAAATTCTACAGTGACACAAAATTCAATATATTTCATTATCAAGTAAATAAATAATTGGAAAGAAAAAATATATACAAGATATTTGAAATATTGTTCATAAATGCCAAGCCTGATGCGATTAATTTAACAAATCTATTCTAATATAGAATTAAGCTTGTTAATTCGAAATAGCGTATCTACTGCTTACGACAAAAATGCTTCAACTGTACACGGTGCTAAAGCAGGCTAGCAAAGCAAGGACTACGGACAAACCAAGCAGGAAGCGTGCCCACGCATGCGGTTTCAAGGCCCACCGTGCAACCAGAGGATCAAGACATGCACAGACAGCTAAGAGAGATAGAGATGTATATGTAAGAAGTATAATGAACTGTTTAAAGGCCCTCACATTTGATTTCTTCTCGAATTTTCCGTTTGTGAATTTCCAGACACGACTTTAGGGGCGGATGAAAAACGACACAAAGTACACTCAGCAGGGCTGGCAACGTGGCGGAGGATAAGTAATGGGGGAATTATACCGGTCTCTTTACCGGATTTACGTTCGTTGATAGGATCAAACCTGTCAGGTTGTATCAGCCCAACGCACACTGTATAGTAAGAGAATCATTAATTTTAAGGCAGTGAGGGGGAAGGGAATAAATATACGATAATCCAATGCACGTAAACGGTTTCTGAGAACGGAAAAGACATATAAAGCAATGTGTATATACGCTGTTATTGTTTGTAAATTTTTAATTATAATCACACTCTTTCACTATGACCAACGATGAAAAATAATATAACGTGAAGAAGTATATAATTCGTTATAAATCGTAACCTTTGTAAACACTAATTAAATGCGTAATATTAGCACTTTGTATCTTGAATTATAATCAAAATTGTTTATTTCACAACGTTGTGAGGGCCTTTAAGAGAGATTAGTGTTGACGTGAAAAATGTATTAATCGAAATTATGTTTTTTTCTCAAATTGTCCACCTTGCTTGGAGTTCTTGAGCGTGGGGCTCGCGCCAGGTGAAGAATCAAGGATTTCAGAGGTCTTTTCTGGAAAAGGGAAAAACAGAGACAAAGAAACTAAAGATAATTGATGAGAGAGATAGAGAGATACAGAAAAATTATAAAATTATTACAAGTAAACTCTGCAAAAGTACAAAGTATGAAATTTCACCAATCACTACAGTTAAAGATACTTGTTAACTCCTTGCTGCCTTGCGTACAATAGGTAGAAATACTCAACAATTACTGGTCTCATGAGTGTGGCAACAACGGGGCAGAGAACCACAAGTATGCGAAAAAGTGCATGAGTAGTACCCAAACAAATAAATAAATCTCGAATACTACTAACAATGTGTGCATGACAGACTAGCAAACGATACTCAAGAGATACTTTAAATAAAACAACAAACTACGGATACACAAAATTGCTTACTGCAGCTAATAGTACGGGGTTCCATTGCCTATTACAACTTAGCGGTTACCACGCTGTGTCTACTGCTCTACATAACGCCAGCATTTTCTCAAACTATATTTTGCGTTTTGTTTTGCGTCAATTTATATTTGCCTTGGGTAATTAAATAATGTTACTACATTTAGTGCTTATTTAATGTTCATTTAAACATGACAAATAAATTGCAGAAGAATTTAAATATAATGAAATTAAAATTACTTCGAAACATTTTAAGTAAATAAAAAAACTGAGTATGCGTAGCAAACAGTAAAGAAAGAGAAGGGGGTGAAACCGACGCTGCTTAACATGAAGAGCCCTTGCTTTCTTTGATCACAAGATGCAAAGCCTGCGAGGCTGAAAACGAGACGCTTTCATGCTTTCAGCTGCTTCTTTAACGACACGACATTAAACTCGACGCCGTTAACTTGCAGACAGGTGGTTGGGGGGCCGGGGGAGGTGAAAACCAGGAATCACGCACGTAGAGACGTCGTTCATCGGTGAACTGGGGGGGTGAGGGGGGGGGACGACACCCGTGTCGCCGACACAGCCGTCTCTCGTATCACGGGTGTTCCTTTCGCCCGGCGCCTAACGTTTCGGAGCGATGGCTGCCTTTGCATTGAGCTGCGAGAACGGCGAAAAGAACCGAGCGGTCTTAGAAGCTTTGCGAGACGAGGTTAAACGTGATGTGCAAAGGAATTTCAAGCGAAGGTTCATGTTTACTTCATTTTTCTTCTCGAGTTTCGGGCATCTGACGTGAGAGACAACATTCTTGTAATGAAATTTCAACGTGCGCGTTAGGTTTGTTTTCTGACGTGAAGAACACTGAGCGGTTACGCGACTTTACAACTTCTGCTCAGAATACGGAAATTTTTTTTCTTAGGACGCATTGATGCCTCTTCTCCAAGGTCCTATTCATTAGTAGATTATCAATGAATAACGTTTTAATTAATGACTAACTTTACTTGATACTTTATCATTACGATGAAATAATACAATTTTAATAAAACTGCATTAACGGGCAAATATTTTAATATTTTGTACTGACATACTTGTCGTCCGCGTTTATTTTAACAAGTTTAGGAATCTTAAAAAATGAATACTTTTCGAGCTGTCATGCCAATCATACCGAATTCCTACATTTTCATTCTGCAAGAGCAAATAAATTGAACAGCATAAGAAAAAAATTATTTTAATTTGAAGATTCAAGAGCATTCACGTATCCTACCTGCAATACAGAACATTAAATAAAATAAAACTAAGAGCATGCATAAAACAGCATTAAATATTCACGAAAAAGTCTTAATGTAAAAGTTAAAAAAGAAACATTTTGTTTTAGTAAATAAAGTTTATTTTATTTTGCATAAATGTAGTAATTTATTTTCTTTAAACTTACAGAATTGTTAAGTAATTTTTCCTGACCTCTCCTGAGCGTTCATGCCGCTGATCAAATCTACGTTTCGGCTACCTCCCTCCTACGCCGGGTCTAAAGCTACAGGGAACGGAGGACCATAGAGCACCCAACTTCCGAAGTGCGTATGTGGCTCTATTGCTTTGGGGACAGAGCCGGGGGAACGGAGTAGCAGCGGGCGGGGTTGAGAGAGGGCGAGCGGGGCCAAGCGAGGATGAAGAGGGGTGGAAGGGGAGCGGTAGGTGTAATGAAGCGGCGAGGCGGGGAAGAG